ACCTCTGTCAGATTAATTAATTGAATTTGTAAGTTGTTGAATAATCATACAAAAGTGATATTAAACTTACAAACTGGGGAGCAAACAAATGTCCTTTTGAGCACATTTGTTACTAACAGATACAAGTACATTGACTACTCGATAGTTTGGGTGCTATAGATCACCAGTTATTATTGTGTTTATAGAAATTTGGAACTAAATAACTATTACCAGTCGTACCTCTCTGGTGAGGCTTAAGGAGCTTTTTTTCACCAAATAGGGCACTCAGTTGTTATCACCATGCTCACTATCCTCAGATATAAGGTTTTACGGCCACTCCAGACATTTATAGTTGCAACCTTATGGTACTGGAACAATTTCACAAGTGTATTATTCGCAAAGCTGTGCATTTATATATAACACTGTAAGAGCAATTCCAGTCTATACTGTGCTATATTTTAGCCTGCTACCTTTATTTTATCTTCTTTTACAATCCCCCTGTAACAATTACGCCTTTTCACAGTTGGTTTTTACTATATTATATATTGCTTTGTCTCCAGTGGTATCAAATAACAATAAAAGCATAGTGGAGACAATGTACATATATTTAGATCTTTACTCCTCTGTGATTAAGACTGAAATACTATTTGTGATTCCCCTTATTTGATCACCAGTTTTATAGTTTTATATCACTTCTGTGCAGTTAGTACAATCTTTATGAAGCAAAAATGAATGAATGGCATGGAATCCTGTTTAGAAATAATGTTACGTAATAGGAAGAGGAGCAGCCAGTCAGTGTATATGGTGTTTTTCTGTAAAATTAGGAATGAACACAATATGTTGTTCATCAATATGGTCACAAGTAAATATCTCTTGAATTTTATTTTACTTGTTATCATCTTAAAAGATGGTATTAGAATAAACCTAAATACCTTTTTATGTATAGTCTAATATTTATTTGTGGTAATATATAAAGTAGATGGAGTCATACATTCGCAACTATATTTACATTTTACTCTTATTTGTCTGTATCCTTTCTAGCTTTTAATGTCAATATACTTTTTTAATTTACAGATGATAGCAGCCTCCTAAACTTAACACCATATCCACTTGTCCGGAGGAGAAAGAGAAGATTCTTTGGACTCTGTTGCCTTATCTCAAGCTAAAATTTTCAAAATAGCCATCTTTTCAACAAATACATTATTTTTATTTGACCTTTCAATCATAAATCATTCAAATGGGTTATTCCTTATGTATCGAGTGTTGCTACCATTACAGTTCCTCTTTTATACTTTGAAGACGAATGCCATGACTGTACCGAACACAACTGAAAAACATTAAAATGTTTCAAAAAGCATGCAACATTTAAAGTTACAAGTGGTTTGTTCAGATGGTTCTGATACATCGCTTCTGGAATACACAGAGGATAAACAAATATGCAAAATGCTTTGATAGCCTAGTATTATGCTATAAAAGAACAATCAACACAGCACCACACCGGAGGTCTCATGTGGAAAGCTTGATCGATGCTGTGCCATGTATATTGTCTCATGTGGTTTAAAAGCCAAATAATGACTTATAACAGTACTTTATTTTGTATCCTTTTTCTTGCACCAATCATACGTAGTCTTCCACAATGCATCAGGATATTTCCAAGACCTCAGCCAAGATTATAACCTGTTAAGAAAGTGGCGAAAAAAGATTGAAATAAAATATATTTATGGATTATGCATATACTGTAATGTTGATGATGATCATCAGTATTTTCCTTTAAATCCGATGGTATGACTCTCACAATTTTGAAAATGTAAAATGTGTATCTATGTATATGTATTTATCTACGTCAATGTATATAGATCTATATCTCTATATAGTTAGATATATTTATGGGTTTTAACTACTAAACAGTGACTTGTTGGGGACTTGATAACCAAGTTGCAAAACTTAATGCGAAATAACATTGAGAAATCAAAACCTTTTTTTCAATCTCAGTTATTTTATCCTTAACTTTGCAATTCAGTTGCCAACTAAAAACTCACTGTTTAGTGATTGAACCACTTACTCCGAATCCTTCTGTCTCTGAGAGAAAATGTGAATGCTATATACATACATACATATATATACTATGTATGTATACAACTTCCCCACATGTATTCTCATAAATCAGTAAGAAAACCAATATCATATCTTGTTATTATGGAGAGTTGAAGCATGGTGTGTGCACATTGACATAGTGCCTAGTGTTAAACATTGTAAGGCATGACGGAATTAGCTCAGATTGTAATATAATCTACATTTTACATAATGTTAATAAACATTTTTTTTTAGTTAAACTGTGCACATTTGTTTTTAATGCATTCAAACATTACAATATGCCGCATATTAATGCAATTAATTGAAATAATAAAATTAACGTATTAATATGTTCACAGATGGATTATTGAAATTGCCATGGTTTGTCTATGTATAATACATACTTTCTAGTCTTCCAGTTTGCTGAGGTTCCTCACACTAACTGCTAATGTTTACAGCAGAATATTGGTGAATGACTAGTCTATGACAGCTGATGTACAGTGCTGTCTCTTTAGTATAATAGAAAGTCTTCAGGGTGGCAGTTGGTGTACAAGATATTTATTTTCCCTAATAAAATACGAACTATGTTTGATGTAGAAGAAATGCAAGTTCAAAGTAATCTATTAACTTCTTCACTACCTTAAAAATTAACAAAAAAGAAATATATATCATAGGGTGGATAGTATAATTACAAAGGAGGGCATTAATCCAGTCTCCCGAGCCCATATTGAATATTATAAAGGCTTAACTCAATGGGGTCAACCCCTGAGTGAGGGACTGTCACTTCTCTGGATGTTGAGTCATTAATAATGAATAAAAAAATTAATAAAACATTTAAACTCACCAATAACTTCTATTAACCTTTTTAAGATTTAACAATATACATCATAATCCAGTTGAACTCAAGTACAGCCAGGGCACACGGAAAAATGATTAAAAAAAATTATAGAATTTCTGTTCATCTCTTTATCTATGTATGCTTACTATATGTTGATGATTGTACTGATGATTGAGAGGCAGCGAAGATGTGGGTACCTATTCCATAACAATTGGTATTGATTTCTATATTTAATTAAACTTTTCACACCTCAAATAAGAATAATATTAAAAAACCTGGAGAGCAATAGTTTCCTTTTAAATGCTTTGAGACCAGATAGTCAATCCCCTGGACTCATACTGAATCTTTTCAGGTGTCTAGGTAACCCCAAAATCCTAGCCAACCAGCACACAATATGACCTTACCTCATGCTAACATTCAATATGGAGGGGTCTCAAATAATCTAAAAATGATTAATTACCATCTAATTACAATGAATAAATTATTAATTATTACCATCTAGTAATAATGGAAGGCCCACAAATAGCTGATAAAAATCCAGCCTTATTCGAGAGCTTCTCACAGAATAAGTCCTCAGGGTCGGAAAGGCAAGCCTTCACAGCTTGCATACCTCTAAGTCTGACCCCGCATATACATTGTTTGGGTGCCTCTTGCTTGTGATGCTACACATGTAAAGGAAAGAGAAAATCACAAGAGGATCTGGCTTTAAAGAATAAATATAAAATTTAGACTGGAAGGAGAGGTTTGCAGAGACAGAAAATCTTCACAGTGAATTAACACAGAAAATTTTCAGTTTTTTTCTTAAGTTTGTTTTCAGATAAGCAATACTAACATGCAAGTTCAAGATGATCCTTCCCCATTAGAGTCTTTTTATGGAATATCTGTGCTAGTTTAGAAATAGACTAATATGTGGTACTATCCAATGAGGTCTGAACTGGAACCGACTGGATACTGAGTTCTTCAAAATCAAGAAATAAAAAAAAAACCATCTTGGTGAAAAATCTACAATATAGATATTCACCAACAAAGAGGCATGAAATTAGACATTGCAATTGTCTTGGTACACCTTCACCAAATATATAATAAATGGTGATAACAGAGTTATACTCATCCAAATGTAAAGTGATCAGCCTGCCTAAGATCACCCCCAGTCAGCAATCTCACATCAACCAAAGTGCATATAACAAGAGAGGAAAACAGCTGATTGTCTAAAAATAAAAAGATATACAAAACACAGTGTAAATCCACATAACAAGATTATGTGCACTATAATTAGATGCACTCACAAGAAGGTAGCGTAATTGGGCGTGCAAGGTGCCTCACCAGATGGTGATGTGGGGCTGTTGTCCACTTCCCTGGACATTCACCACTAAGATACAGGACTTCTGGTGGTCAGTTGAAAAAAGGAGCTTTTATTGTATACCACATAAAAAATATTTAAAATAAATAATAAGAATATGGTCGGTCCTACGCGTTTCTTCCTTAAAAATAAATAACATATATCATTAAAAATATTTTTTTAAGGACGAACATTTTAAAGAATTTTTATGCTGTATCCAATAAAATCTGCTTTTTTCAACTGACCACCCGTCCTGTATCTTAGTTTTTTTTATATCTTTATATCTTATATTGTTTTGTATATCTTTTTATTTTTAGACAATCAGCTATTTTCCTATCTTGTTGTACATACATTGCAATTGTCTTACATTGTCTCGTTTGGTTCAAAGTCAGTACAGTTAAAAATGTAATTAAAGGATCACTATAGGGTCAGGAAAACAAACATGTATTCCTGACCCTATAGTGTTAAAACCACCATGTAGCCCCCCTGGGCCCCTCATGCCTCCATAAATATAGCAAAATTTTATTGTATTCAAGCCAGAAGCTGTAGATCTGCATGCTGTTTGCCTAAAATAAAAAAAACAGTCTTCTGACATTATCAGAAGTGGTGGCCTGATCCAATCACAGTGCTTCTCCATAGGATTGGCCGAGAGTGACAAAGAGGCAGATCAGGGGCAGAGCCAGCATGATTCAAACACAGCCCTGGCCAATCAGCATCTCCTCATAGAGATGAATTGAATCAATGAATCTCTATGAGGAAAGTTCAGTGTCTGCATATAGAGGGAGGAGACATCGAATGTTTGGATGCATTTTAGGCAGCCATGACCCAGGTAGGATCTCTAACAGCTACCTGAGGAGTGGCCAGTGAAGTTATCACTGGGCTGTAATGCAAACACTGCATTTTCTCTACTCACCAGAACAAATTCAATAAGCTGTAGTAGTTCTGGTGACTATAGTGTCTATTTAAGCTGCTGGACAAACACAGCAAGCTGTCTAACATTAAATATTTGATCTGATCTCCAGGTAGCAATTTGTAGGTGCTGAAGAGAAAACTTCTGGAACGCAAGTTTATGCTAACTAATATATCAACTTCCATGCCACCTGAAGCTTTATCTATTTACCTGTAAGAAATGCTCCTGTATCTGTTATTTTGTGTTACCGCCATTTATTAAAGATGCCTTCCCATGGTCACAGTTCTGAGCAGCTTAATCTTAAGATCAGGCCAGGAGCTTCCACCAAACACGTCTAGTCACCATGCGGCTCAGGCACCGCCCCCCTTATTTAACAATTTAAAGGACTCTATGAGCTAAAATTTACTCTATTTTATGTGCATTTGTTAATTTTTCATCACTACTTTGCAGTTGTGTGAATAGCTTTATTAAATTTTAAACAAATACCTTTTTCACCCCATCTGTGTCTCTTCAGACTAGAATCTAGGAGGCAGGAGTTAACTCCATGAGAAGCAAGGATATGGTGTGTGGAATGCTTGTAACAACACGTGTACATAGATGTAAATTGTAAAAGCAAAATGTATTTTTCAAATGTACTCACTTATATAACCCAGTAATAGGCAGTGTGATTATCCTTCTAAGTCTTCTGCTAATGGAAACTGGAGGGTAACCCTGCAAATGCAGAATGTGCTGCCCGGAGGCAGGGTTTAACATCGTAAATGAAAAACTCATAGAAGGATAGACTTTAACACTATATCTTTTGATCAGCGATGATAAGAATGAACCTTGCCCACACTATCATCTCTTATAGGCCTTGATTCCAGCCTATTGCATGGATATGGTTGGCAACATAGAGAAACAAGCAAGTTGAGAAGTGGGAGGCTTGAGGTCAAAATGTACTCCCACATGTTTAAGCTAATCAGTATTATTATTAATTAGCATTATTAATAGTAAAGGGCAGTAGTAACTTCGCCTGTAGACATTACATTAAAATGGCCCTGCAATGGAGACAAAAAATCTCAGCACCAGTTGACATTTCTGGGTCGCCATGGTGAGTTCGCACCTGAGATTTGTCAATCCCTTGCGTAAATAAATATCAAAGTTCATGAAAAAAGCCAAAAGTTCTTGTTTCAATCTGCATACTGAAGATAGATTAACCAGACAGGTGTACACATTAACTGAGGAACACCACCATACACGTATTTAAAGCTTCACAACTCCACACTCAACAGGGGATGTGGCAAAGCAACAACTTTATTTTACATAAATACTATTGAGAGCAGATAAAGGAATGATGGGAAGCAGCGCTTTCAGACAAAGTACTCAGTTTCAGATCCCATTGGAGCAGTATGGAAACTAAGACGACAAAGACTCAACTATAAGGTAGTACTTCGGGTGTAGTGATGGTCAAATAAAAGAAATTGCACTTACAATTTTCTGGAGCTTAAAATTAGCTCCAGATATATGCGCCTGGACAGCACAATCCCGTCTATGGGTATGCCGATGGTCCTGCTCCTATGTTGGAAGATTTCCTTAGGCCAGTGGTCAGTGTTTGGTGATCAGCAGTAATAGAGGTGTTCACATTCAGTGCTTCGTATTGTGCCAAATTTCTCAATTGGAGCATGTAAGTAAGTTGTTTTTACTTCCATTTGATGAAGACGTAAGTCATATTGTGCTGTTTGTTGTATTAAGAATTATACTTGTGTAATTTTTGCAGCTGAGGAGAAAATTTCTTTGTAACCAACTCCCTTTACTTGATTATAACCTTTACCTACTTGGTCATCAATTTTGATCTATCAATTTTGTTTTTTATTGCATTGGCCCCAACTGAAATTTTAAGTAACTGATAGTTTAGATGTATTTTTTAGGTTTTCCCACATTTTATTTATTATTTGAATATTTGGTGCAAATAGGTAGGAACTGTTGCATGCAGAACTAAAGAGGTAGGAACTGTTGCAGTAGGACACTTATCAGGAAGCACTCATTCCTCTTGCAGAAGTGTGCTTGTAGAAGAGTCATGCCATTTAAGTTTGGATGAAGTTCTAGAAGGAAACGACAGTTCCCCCTATATTAAGGAAACCAATGAATTATCACAGCATAGTAAACTGAGAAAGATTGTGTTTGTGAGCTACAGTTAGAACACAACTGCTGTTCACAAATAGGAAGAGATAGACCCCAATCAGATGTAACAAGACCACAAGTCAGTTCCAAGTTTCACCACATTTTGCATACACCAATATGAGGCTGGAGAACCAGAGAGAGTTCAAGAGCACTCTAAAACTGATGCTGATAAAGCCAGGAATAATCAGGTGGAGATTCCTTGAAGTGGATTCAGGATTGTTGGCTGCTGCAAAGAGGTTCTGAGTGTTCACTACAGTATTTGTGTATTTGCATGGGAATTGCTGGTGCTATGTACTCTTATGTTCAAGTCACTGCTGATATGGGTATATATGTACTAAGAGAGCTACAAGTGTTAATGCATATTGATTCCAGTCTTAGTTAAACTTTAAAGGGACACTCCAGGCACCCAGACCACTTCTGCCCATTGGAGTGGTCTGGGTGCCAACTCACACTACCCTTAACTCTGCAACTGTAAATATTACAGTTTTCATAAACTGCAATATTTACCTTGCAGGTTTAACTCCTCCTCTAGTGGCTGTCTTCCAGCCACTAGAGGGCACTTCCGGGTTTATAGCACACATTTTGTGTGCTATAGCGTCGCTGGACATCCTCACGCTATGTGAGACCTCCAGCGTCGCTGAAATCCCCATAGGAAAGCATTGAAAGCATTTTTCAATGCTTTCCTATGGGGAGGTCTAATGCGCGGCGTAATGATATGTATCATATACCACATTATCTGTTAGATAAGGCTAACTGATTTAAGTAACAAAATGGCAGTACAGGGTCAGTCTACCGTGTGTGACAATGGAAATATAGAATGAATTGTGCAGTTACAAAAAACTACACTCAATCCATTACCCAATGTGTTTAGAAACAGTGCAAAAGCCAGAAACCCAAATATGTGTAGAGACACAATTAGCAGAAATATATAAACCTCTTCAATTAGAGTAAAGGAAAAGTCACAGAGCCTGTACAATTACTGAAAATGGTAGAGAACGTGTCAGACCCCCACTCTCCCTCATCCATATCTCATGCTCCCTCGCCACATCTTCTCCTATCTTCCCGGTGGGTCTCTTTCTTTCCATCACAGGTGGTGCCATATGTGACCCATGAATCGTAGGAGAGAGCCCCCTTCATTTTGGCCTGGCTGATGGACAGAGACTCGAGGAGGACCAGCCTCCTTAGGCGCACTCGTGCCAGAGCAATGCCCTCTTAAAGGGAGAGGGGGTAGTCCAGAGCTGGGTGTGTGTGGGAGGTGGGAGTGACATGGGAGAGCATGCCCTACCATATATAATAGCATTGCTCCTTTTCCTCAACTCTCAGTTATAATGTGCTCATAGTGGTGTTAACTTCCTTTCCTGCTGTGCCTGGTATTTGATACCTGGTATTTGACCCTTGCTTTTTTAGCTGTTTAAAAACCTGTGCCACCTAACCTTCAGCATCCCTGACTATGCTTTTGTCTGACCTTCAACTGTACCAAATGACTGATCCATTCATTGAGCTCGAAGATATGCTTAACTGACAAGATGTGTCCAGTTTGACCGAAGAGGTGCAAGAGCTAAAGTCCCAGGCAATTGCCACTATACCTGGGATACTACGACTACCTGTATCAGCACACATGATACCCCTTCCTAAAGATTGGTCCATGGCACCAGAACCACAAATCCCAATGCCAGAAAGATTCATGAGAGACAGGTCCAAGTACTGTTCGTTCAGTATGTCCTGTGAACTGATTGTGGCGAAACCAACCTCGCCACTGTGAACTGGAGAAGCCTGGTTGCTCGCCTGCTCCCTTTGGACTATGGCCCTGCAGGTTAAACCGTTTATTTCCCCTGCAGAAAGGCTTATTTGTGTGATCTGAGTGCCATTCATCTAATAATGTGCACTCAGATCCCAGCTATCTGGGGATATGTGAAAATCTGTGTGTTATGTGTAAATGTGACTTTATGTATTTTAAAGTGTTTTGTGTTTTTGCAACCATGTGCTTAATGGAGTCTTGTGTCTGTCGGAGATAATTGAATTACTCTCCAGGATAGAAGACTCTGAAACTGGTTTGGGCCAGAAAGCCATGCTTCATTTAGTCACAAAGGACTTTCCCTTAACTTTTGAACCCCTGGTCTGATTCGTGCCATTTTTTAATATGTTGTTGCCCTGAATGGACTGATTATGAAAATGTATGTTTTATGTTTGTGACATGTATATTTTAGAAGTTATAAATATTGTGTAAAAACTGTATTCCTCTGCCGGTGATAATGAGATTACCCATTGTGTTCAGTAATCATATCACCTGCAGAGGGGAGGATTTTGTGTGGGAGTGTCTGGGTGTATTGTACGGATTGATTGGTTGTTTTGTAACGCCCTGTGGGCTGTACTATGTTTTGTGGATTGTAATAAAAACCAGGCTGGGTGTGCCAGCACTTGAGTTCCTGTTTTAACCCTCAAAGTGAAGTGTCGTCTCATTATTGGGGGAAGGATTTATTGTATGCTGTTCCAGTTTGACTGCTAGGAGAGTAAACCTATTCGTATGGTTCCTATTCAACTGTCTACAGCATTCATATGCTTGAGAGGATTCATATGCTTCTCCGGTTCGGTGGTTGTGGTGTCTGCTGCAGTGCTTGGAGTCCTCAGGAAGCGCTAGGAGCATCCTTCAACGGAGGTACCCAGTCGGGGTGCCAGGCGATCCGTTACATTGGTGGCAAGCGACGGGATCATTTCCACAGCCCAGAAGGACAGCTATAATACAACACCAGTTCCTGGATTACAAATTGAGGGCAACGCCAGTACCCGTACAGCGACCCTATCTACAAAAGAACCAACTTCAGCAGCGCAAGCATGGCACCCAGCTACACTCAGGAGCAGTATGACAGAGAGTTTACCATGCGGCTGGCTTTCTTTGGACCCAACCCCCCGGAGAAATACGTGCAGCTCGTAAGGAGCCAGGTAGACGAGTACCTGCAGTTCATGGCAGATCCAGCCAAAGGTATCAGCCGCCCTATCCGGTGGCAGAGTGCGTTACGGGGACTCAAAGGTGTACCCCAGGGAGCTGAAGGTGTCGTCCTTCCTCCCCAGCGGCAGTGTGTATCCCAGGGAGCTGAAGGTGCAGTCCTTCCTCCCCAGCGGCAGTGTGTATCCCAGGGAGCTGAAGGTGTCGTCCTTCCTCCCCAGCGGCAGTGTGTGTCCCAGGGAGCTGAAGGTGCAGTCCTTCCTCCCCAGCGGCAGTGTGTATCCCAGGGAGCTGAAGGTGCAGTCCTTCCTCCCCAGCGGCAGTGTGTATCCCAGGGAGCTGAAGGTGCAGTCCTTCCTCCCCAGCGGCAGTGTGTATCCCAGGGAGCTGAAGGTGCAGTCCTTCCTCCCCAGCGGCAGTGTGTATCCCAGGGAGCTGAAGGTGCAGTCCTTCCTCCCCAGCGGCAGTGTGTATCCCAGGGAGCTGAAGGTGTCGCCCTTCCTCCCCAGCGGCAGTGTGTGTTCTTAGGAGAGGAGATAGTTGGTCCCTCTCCCCAGCGGTCAAGTGAGTCCCAGGGAGTTGAAGGTGTCATCCTTCCTCCCCAGCGGCAGATTGTATGCCAGGGAGCTGAAGGTGTCGTCCTTCCTCCCCAGCGGCAGAGTGTCCTGCAGGGAGCAGAGACCGTCAGTCTCGCACCCCAGCAGCAGGACAAAATATTGAAAGGGGAGACAGCTGGTCCCCCTCACCACCAGCAGAGAGAGTGTCACGGAGAGGAGCCTGCTACCCCCTCTCCCCAGCGGCAGGTTACAGTTCAGAGAGAGGAGCTTGTTACACCCTCTCTCCAGCGGCAGCCTAACCCACCAAGGGGAGATGTTACACCCCCCAACAGTGCAGATGGGACCGTAGTCTTTGCACTTGCAGCACAAGAGGTAGGGACGGTCGGTCCTGTCCCCCAGCCCCAGAGCTGTGTACCCAGAGGGGAGACGGTCGGTCTCCCCCTCCCACAACCAGGCTCCAACCAGGCTACTTCAGTGGTAGCGCTGGCACCAGGGCAGAGTACCGCTGGTCTCTGCCCACTCAGCAACCCACCAAGGCAGTCTACCAGCTCCCCGCACAGCCGTGGTGAGGAACCTGGACCTGGACAAGCTGCTACTTTATCCAGGTGGGGTAAACATTTATTGTGGGTGGGAGGTACTGCTGTTTGTGCTTCGTGGGTGGGTTGCTGGACTAACCAGGGCACTGACCGGCAGGAGGTCAGATACCCTGTTAGTCTGGATGGTAAAGGGGAGAATGTGCGAAAGCAACCTCGCCACTGTGAACTGGAAGCCTGGTTGCTCGCCTGCTCCCTTTGGACTATGGCCCTGCAGGTTAAACCGTTTATTTCCCCTGCAGAAAGGCTTATTTGTGTGATCTGAGTGCCATTCATCTAATAATGTGCACTCAGATCCCAGCTATCTGGGGATATGTGAAATGTCTGTGTGTTATGTGTAAATGTGACTTTATGTATTTTAAAGTGTTTTGTGTCTTTTTGCAACCATGTGCTTAATGGAGTCTTGTGTCTGTCCTGGGAGATAATTGAATTACTTATCTCCAGGATAGAAGACTCTGAAACTGGTTTGGGCCAGAAAGCCATGCTTCATTTAGTCACAAAGGACTTTCCCTTAACTTTTGAACCCCTGGTCTGATTCGTGCCATTTTTTAATATGTTGTTGCCCTGAATGGACTGATTATGAAAATGTATGTTTTATGTTTGTGACATGTATATTTTAGAAGTTATAAATATTGTGTAAAAACTGTATTCCTCTGCCGGTGATAATGAGATTACCCATTGTGTTCAGTAATCATATCACCTGCAGAGGGGAGGATTTTGTGTGGGAGTGTCTGGGTGTATTGTACGGATTGATTGGTTGTTTTGTAACACCCTGTGGGCTGTACTATGTTTTGTGGATTGTAATAAAAACCAGGCTGGGTGTGCCAGCACTTGAGTTCCTGTTTTAACCCTCAAAGTGAAGTGTCGTCTCATTATTGGGGGAAGGATTTATTGTATGCTGTTCCAGTTTGACTGCTAGGAGAGTAAACCTATTCGTATGGTTCCTATTCAACTGTCTACAGCATTCATATGCTTGAGAGGATTCAAATGCTTCTCCGGTTCGGTGGTTGTGGTGTCTGCTGCAGTGCTTGGAGTTCTCAGGAAGCGCTAGGAGCATCTTTCAACGGAGGTACCCAGTCGGGGTGCCAGGCGATCCGTTACACTGATGTTTGACCTAAATCCCCACATATATCACTCAGAGGCCATCAAATTGCATACTGTATCCCTTCTCTGTGGTCCTTCAAAGGAATGGGCACATGACCTATTATATGCCAATGACCCCAGCATCCAAACATGGGATTTCTTTGTATCAATCATTTCCTAAATGTATGATGACTAGAACTACAGGAAATGGCTCAAACTTCCATCAGAGCATTACATCAAGGCCACAGACCATTAGAGATAACATAACTCACTTTAAAAGATACACCACTGGTACCTAATGGAACGTAATTGGACCGATACTGTGGATGTCATCACAACACCTTGAGAACATGTTCAGAGAAGAACAGAACCACCACAGAACAGCCCTTTCACTCATGACATCCACACTTTTCACCACAACTCCTTCTTTAAAATAAGTGTATATATGGTGAAAAAAACAATATAAGACAAAGTGCTACAATCACCAGCAATGTGGGTCACTCCACCTCACATAAATAAATGGTTAAAACAGTAAAAAATGGTGAGAGCACAGAGAAACAATAATTACCCTTATATTCAATATAAAACCTGTAAAAACACAATGGGAAAAACAGGCATAGGGTAATAACGTACAAATAATATATGAATGAGTAAATACTTGAATAAACTCACATATTCATGAGCCACTTAATATGGAAGCTGGCTCAGACTAGGAACATTGAATGGATTAGTGAGGTGGTTGTTGTAATCCAACTGCTTAATTGCTTGCTCCTTCTTGCTTTACAAAATCCAGGATGCAGGATCTTTAATGAAAAACTTTTATTCGGTATAGCAGCAAAAAAAGACAGCAGCAGTAAAAATTAAAATTCAGCAATTCCACCTCTGCACACTAACGCGTTTCAGCCAAAGCCTTTATCAAAGTGTGAGTCCATTCAGTCAGTTCCATTTTTAAATAGGCAAATTTTCGCGCCTTTTTTCGGAAATAAGCTCCTCCCCTTTTTTTTTTTTTTGTTGCAACTTTATTGGGCATCCTAGCATCCTTAACGATCTCAATTTACTTCCATGTTCATTGAAGAAAAGGAACAGCGAACTAGTCCATTCACTTAAACAGTCTTTCATGTTGCAATAATCAGAGTCCTATTGGCAACATACTTCATACATATTGTCAATAACATTAAAACAAATATTATAGTCAGATATTCTTATTGCAATACGTAGAATATTAGCAACAGTTAAACTCTCTCTTTCTCAAAAAAAGGATTAAAAAAGGTAAAAGAGAGGCAAAAGAAGAGGGAATAAATTTAAAAGGGAAATAAAAGATCAAAATAGAAAAATCTTCTTATTCACATTTAAAGGTATATCGGGAGAATGCATCATACTTAAAATACACTTATTATAATCAATATTTATAAAATATTAATCAGTATTACTAAAATTAGAATTAAAAAATATCTTATTAATATAAAACAACCTAAAATAATCTCCAATAGATTTAATAAATAATTATAGTTAAATATAAGTATTAATTTCAAAATCTACGTTTAATCCCCCCGGTGTAAGTGTATCCAAATTAAAAATCCATTTCATCTCATTTTTGCTTAAAAGATTATCCTTATCACCCCCTCTCCAGTGTATTTTAATATGATCTATTGCAAAAAAATCCAGGCCTGCTGGGTCTCCATCATGATATTCCAAAAAATGTTTAGATAAACAATGGTTAGGGAATCTTCTCCTGATGTTGTATATATGCTCCCTAATTCGTATTTTTAATGAACGAGACGTTTTCCCTACATATTGTAACCCGCAGGGACATGTTATCATATAAACAACATCAGCAGTATTGCATGTGATAAAGTGTTTAATTTCATATTCTGTTTTAGTATTAAAAGAAATGAATTTAAAAATTCTTCTATTTTTCCCAGCTCTTACTTTACACCCTCTACAATTTCCACAATAGAAGAATCCTTTCTGTTCCTTTAAAAAGTTATTGGAACATTCTTTCTTTTCTTTCTCTTGGAAGCTGCTAGTTAAAATTTGCTTAAAATTTCTAGCGCCTCTAAAAATTAATTTAGCTTTTTCTCCTATTAGTGGGCGTAACTCATCATCTAACTTTAAAACATGCCAATTTTTATCAATAATTTTACGTAAAGTGCGGTTGTTAGAATTAAAATTAAAAATTAATGGGATAGTTTCTAGTCCTTCTTTTTTAGCTTGCTTATCTTTATATTTCAAAATTTCTAAACGGTCTTCCTCTTTTACCTGTTTATAGGCTTTTTCTAGAATATTTTTATCATATCCCTTTTCTAAAAATTGTTTTTCTAAAATTTTAACCTGATCGTTAAAATCCCGTTCATCTGTACAATTTCTCTTCAACCTTAAAAATTGTCCTTTTGGTATGTTTGATAACCATGGTTTAAAATGGCAGCTGGAAAAATCAATAAAACTATTAACATCTACAGATTTAAAATATGTCCGACTCTTAATTACACCATTATCTATAAAAATATCTAAATCTAAAAAGTTAATATTTGAGGGGCTAATGACATGGGTCAGCTTAATATTCCACATATTATTGTTAAGAGAATCAATAAAATCTAGTAAAGATTTGGAACTGCCTCTCCATATAATAAAAATATCATCTATATATCTTTTATAGAGGACCAGACTTGCCCCTATGTCCAACCTAGAAAAAACATATTTTTCTTCCCAAAATGACATAAAAAGGTTGGCATAACTCGGGGCAAATCTGGTCCCCATGGCAGTTCCCTTGGTTTGAAGGTAAAAGTCATTTTCAAACCAAAAAAAATTGTTTTTAAGAATCATATTAAGAATCATATTGATCCCCTGCACAATAAAATCGATTTGTGTTTCTATAAAATTACCAGATTTATTTAAAAAATGTCTAGTAGCCTCACACCCTACCCCATGTTCAATATTAGTGTAGAGGCTACTGACATCACAAGTAGCCATTATAAAGGAATCTTCCCATTTAAAATTATTTAAAATTTGTAAAAGGCTAATAGTATCTTTTAGATATGCCGGACATTTGGGGACTAAGTCTTGTAAAAAATGATCTATATACTGGGAGAGCGGTGATAAGAGAGATCCACTTCCAGATACAATTGGTCTCCCTGGTGGATTAACAGGATCTTTATGCATCTTAGGTAAAACATAGATCACCGGAATTCTAGGGAATTTGACGTCTAAAAACTCGTATTCCTTCTTAGTTAAAATACCCTCATTAAAACCTTTATCTAAAAAATGTTTATAAGTGGTTTTAATTTTTTCTAAAGGATTATTGCCGAGTTTAATATAGGTGTCCGAATCTTCCAATTGTTTATGAATTTCCTTTAGATAATCTTCTTTTTTCCAGATCACTACCCCTCCCCCTTTATCCGCAGGTTTTACCACTATTGTTTTGTCCTTCTTGATATCTTGAAAGGCCATGACTTCCTTTCTAGTTAAATTATCTGGCTTATTTCCTCTCGTTTTAATTTCTCTTAAATCTTTGAGGCATAATTTTTCGAAAATTTTCATATGGTCAGTTTTAAGATGGCTAGGATAAAACTTAGATTTTTTCTTAAAATCTGTGTGTTTAAAAAGATTGTCATCTAGTTTATCATTTTTTTCTTTATTCCCCTCAAATTTATTAAAAAACTTCTTCAAACATAATTTTCTAAAAAAACGATGAATATCTAAAAACGTTTCAAATTTATCTATTTCACACGCAGGGGCATATTTAAAGCCCTTGCCTAAAACTTGTTCATGAATCGGTGTCAAACATTTATCAGATAAATTAAAAATCCTTATTTTCTGTTCATTCTTTATGAGTGCTATGTCCTCAATATCCTTTCCTCTTTTCTCCTTTTGTTTATTTTTTTGAATTCTGGTACCTCCTCTTCTATTTCTCTTATCCTTTTTACTGGGGTCTGTATTTTCTTCCTTCTGTCTGAAAGTCTTGACATTGTTACCCCTAAAAAAGATTCTTCCTCTTCTATATTTTTTAATCTCTCGAAACGATTTGATAACGGAATAGTTGGTATTTCTTTTCTTATTATTTTATTATTTTCTCTATTTTGAAAATTTTGTTTCCTAGTTTTTACTTCCGTCCAATCGTTAGTTAGTTTTTTTCCTTTTTTTGATATTATAGGACTTTCCCTATTTTGGGATGGATTATGTTGTGGTAAAACATTTTTATCATATTTCATAAACACCGATTCATGACACCGATTCATGAACAAGTTTTAGGCAAGGGCTTTAAATATGCCCCTGCGTGTGAAATAGATAAATTTGAAACGTTTTTAGATATTCATCGTTTTTTTAGAAAATTATGTTTGAAGAAGTTTTTTAATAAATTTGAGGGGAATAAAGAAAAAAATGATAAACTAGATGACAATCTTTTTAAACACACAGATTTTAAGAAAAAATCTAAGTTTTATCCTAGCCATCTTAAAACTGACCATATGAAAATTTTCGAAAAATTATGCCTCAAAGATTTAAGAGAAATTAAAACGAGAGGAAATAAGCCAGATAATTTAACTAGAAAGGAAGTCATGGCCCTTCAAGATATCAAGAAGGACAAAACAATAGTGGTAAAACCTGCGGATAAAGGGGGAGGGGTAGTGATCTGGAAAAAAAAAGATTATCTAAAGGAAATTCATAAACAATTGGAAGATTCGGACACCTATATTAAACTCGGCAATAATCCTTTAGAAAAAATTAAAACCACTTATAAACATTTTTTAGATAAAGGTTTTAATGAGGGTATTTTAACTAAGAAGGAATACGAGTTTTTAGACGTCAAATTCCCTAGAATTCCGGTGATCTATGTTTTACCTAAGATGCATAAAGATCCTGTTAATCCACCAGGGAGACCAATTGTATCTGGAATTGGATCTCTCTTATCACCGCTCTCCCAGTATATAGATCATTTTTTACAAGACTTAGTCCCCAAATGTCCGGCATATCTAAAAGATACTATTAGCCTTTTACAAATTTTAAATAATTTTAAATGGGAAGATTCCTTTATAATGGCTACTTGTGATGTCAGTAGCCTCTACACTAATATTGAACATGGGGTAGGGTGTGAGGCTACTAGACATTTTTTAAATAAATCTGGTAATTTTATAGAAACACAAATCGATTTTATTGTGCAGGGGATCAATATGATTCTTAATATGATTCTTAAAAACAATTTTTTTTGGTTTGAAAATGACTTTTACCTTCAAACCAAGGGAACTGCCATGGGGACCAGATTTGCCCCGAGTTATGCCAACCTTTTTATGTCATTTTGGGAAGAAAAATATGTTTTTTCTAGGTTGGACATAGGGGCAAGTCTGGTCCTCTATAAAAGATATATAGATGATATTTTTATTATATGGAGAGGCAGTTCCAAATCTTTACTAGATTTTATTGATTCTCTTAACAATAATATGTGGAATATTAAGCTGACCCATGTCATTAGCCCCTCAAATATTAACTTTTTAGATTTAGATATTTTTATAGATAATGGTGTAATTAAGAGTCGGACATATTTTAAATCTGTAGATGTTAATAGTTTTATTGATTTTTCCAGCTGCCATTTTAAGCCATGGTTATCAAACATACCAAAAGGACAATTTTTAAGGTTGAAGAGAAATTGTACAGATGAACGGGATTTTAACGATCAGGTTAAAATTTTAGAAAAACAATTTTTAGAAAAGGGATATGATAAAAATATTCTAGAAAAAGCCTATAAACAGGTAAAAGAGGAAGACCGTTTAGAAATTTTGAAATATAAAGATAAGCAAGCTAAAAAAGAAGGACTAGAAACTATCCCATTAATTTTTAATTTTAATTCTAACAACCGCACTTTACGTAAAATTATTGATAAAAATTGGCATGTTTTAAAGTTAGATGATGAGTTACGCCCACTAATAGGAGAAAAAGCTAAATTAATTTTTAGAGGCGCTAGAAATTTTAAGCAAATTTTAACTAGCAGCTTCCAAGAGAAAGAAAAGAAAGAATGTTCCAATAACTTTTTAAAGGAACAGAAAGGATTCTTCTATTGTGGAAATTGTAGAGGGTGTAAAGTAAGAGCTGGGAAAAATAGAAGAATTTTTAAATTCATTTCTTTTAATACTAAAACAGAATATGAAATTAAACACTTTATCACATGCAATACTGCTGATGTTGTTTATATGATAACATGTCCCTGCGGGTTACAATATGTAGGGAAAACGTCTCGTTCATTAAAAATACGAATTAGGGAGCATATATACAACATCAGGAGAAGATTCCCTAACCATTGTTTATCTAAACATTTTTTGGAATATCATGATGGAGACCCAGCAGGCCTGGATTTTTTTGCAATAGATCATATTAAAATACACTGGAGAGGGGGTGATAAGGATAATCTTTTAAGCAAAAATGAGATGAAATGGATTTTTAATTTGGATACACTTACACCGGGGGGATTAAACGTAGATTTTGAAATTAATACTTATATTTAACTATAATTATTTATTAAATCTATTGGAGATTATTTTAGGTTGTTTTATATTAATAAGATATTTTTTAATTCTAATTTTAGTAATACTGATTAATATTTTATAAATATTGATTATAATAAGTGTATTTTAAGTATGATGCATTCTCCCGATATACCTTTAAATGTGAATAAGAAGATTTTTCTATTTTGATCTTTTATTTCCCTTTTAAATTTATTCCCTCTTCTTTTGCCTCTCTTTTACCTTTTTTTAATCCTTTTTTTGAGAAAGAGAGAGTTTAACTGTTGCTAATATTCTACGTATTGCAATAAGAATATCTGACTATAATATTTGTTTTAATGTTATTGACAATATGTATGAAGTATGTTGCCAATAGGACTCTGATTATTGCAACATGAAAGACTGTTTAAGTGAATGGACTAGTTCGCTGTTCCTTTTCTTCAATGAACATGGAAGTAAATTGAGATCGTTAAGGATGCTAGGATGCCCAATAAAGTTGCAACACAAAAAAAAAAAAAAGGGGAGGAGCTTATTTCCGAAAAAAGGCGCGAAAATTTGCCTATTTAAAAATGGAACTGACTGAATGGACTCACACTTTGATAAAGGCTTTGGCTGAAACGCGTTAGTGTGCAGAGGTGGAATTGCTGAATTTTAATTTTTACTGCTGCTGTCTTTTTTTGCTGCTATACCGAATAAAGGTTTTCATTAAAGATCCTGCATCCTGGATTTTGTAAAGCAAGAAGGAGCAAGCAATTAAGCAGTTGGATTACAACAACCACCTCACTAATCCATTCAATGTTCCTAGTCTGAGCCAGCTTCCATATTAAGTGGCTCATGAATATGTGAGTTTATTCAAGTATTTACTCATTCATATATTATTTGTACGTTATTACCCTATGCCTGTTTTTCCCATTGTGTTTTTACAGGTTTTATATTGAATATAAGGGTAATTATTGTTTCTCTGTGCTCTCACCATTTTTTACTGTTTTAACAACTCCTTCTTTATCTTTTTTCTCTGTCATTATAGTGGTGTCACGTTACCTGTCCCTTTCAGCTCTGTGCGATCACAGAAATGAGGCACATACATTTATCCCTAACTTCCTGGTGCCTTGTTATGACACCATATATAATGCGGACCCCTCCTGTTAGTCTCCTTTTATAGTGTCGCTTTTTGATGATGTATACAGGCTTGTGACATCACAGTCCTCTGTGACCAATCACTACCCAGTATAGGGTATATATACTTTCTGGTTGTCCTTGTTTCCATGCCGTGTCTGGGCTTTTGTTACGTGAGAGTGTGTTTATACAGTGTATTGGATTTCCTGTTTTTGATATTGTTTGACTATTCTTGCTCTCTGTTATCCTGATCTTGGCCTGGCTATCAATTGCATGTATTTCTGTAATCCTGACCTCTGCTTGTCTCTCGTTTATTCTCTGCATGCTTGCAGACACTTCATATATCTGTGTCAGGCACTAACCCGGCCACTCTAAGTACTGGTACGTGTACTCTTACTGTTACCTTTAGGTTTGCGTGTTAGGGTAACTCAATTCCTGGCAAGTGGAACATGAACATCCATAACTGTTTAGCGTTCGTAGATTCTGGAGCAAGTGGTGACTTTCTGGATTGCTCCTTAACAGAAAAATTAGCAATACTTGTTAATAATCAAATTATTCCACTTAATGTTGTGCATGGGTCTTTCTTGAAATCTGGCCCACTACTGAAACAAACCATTCCCATCCGAGCAGGGCCGGACTGAGGATACAAAGCAGCCCTGAAAAAAAATCTGTGCCAGCCCCATAAGAGTCATTGCGCCATATATTGTCACATGTAATATGTAAGGCTATGTCTTGCCACACCAGATGATTGAGTAATATATAAACATATATATAACATAAAGATATATTTATTTTTCTAATATAAAATACTGGTCCTTTCAGAGTAAAATGTTTAATTAAACTGTAAGCATACTCACATTCAGACACAGACAATCTCACTGACACACACAAGTTCATTGATACACCATTTCATAGACAAACAATCTCACTGATATAAATAAGCTCATTGACATAAAAACACAAGCTCACAGGTGCACACACATAGGCTCAGTGACAGACAATCTCACTGACACACACAGACAAGCTTATTGGTATACACAGAAACATAGTACAGACAAACTCTGACACGCACAAGCCTTCTACAGACAAGCTCACTGTCACACACACATGCTCACTACAGAAAAGCTCACCGATACACACATGCTTCCTACAGAAAAGCTCACCGACACACTCAAGATCACTACAGACAAGCTCACTGTCCCACAAATGCTCACTACAGACCAGTTCACTGACACACACATGCTCCATACAGAAAAGCTCACTGACACACGCATGCTCCCTACATAAATGTTTTTAATAAACATGGTCTAGATATTCTGTGGCTAACCTTTACTTTTTCCTGCGAATGAGTCATAGGCTCAATGCCACACCTACAATGGAACAGATTTGATGATATTCTTCTAAAATCTCGCTTTAGAGGGATCTGGTTATATGTGCAGTGGAGAACCTCAGGCTTTATCAAACTGTTCCAAAACAATCTGACAGAATTCTTGAGCGGTATGCACCGATTAGTAGAGCTATAACCAATGACACACATACACACACAAGCTCACTCACTAGTAGGCACACATATGCACAAGCTCACTCACTAGCAAGCACACACATACACAAGCAGGCACACACACAAGCTCACTCACTAGCAGACACACACACACACACAAGCTCACTCACTAGCAGGCAAACAAACACACAAGCTCACTCACTAGCAGGCACACACACACACGCAAGCTCAATCACTAAAAGGCACACACACACACACACACAGCTTAATGTAGTGGTTCTGGTGTCTATAGCCTGTCCCTGCAGGCTTTTCAATGTAAACACTGACTTTTCAGAGAAAATGCAGTGTTTACATTGCTTCCTAGTGACACCTCTAGTGACAGTCACTCAAACGGTCACTAGAGGTGCTTCCTGTGTCAGTGCTGTATAGTGTGCAGCACCTACATTCAGCGCCGCTCTGCATGGAGGTGCTGAACATTCCCCATAGAGACACATTGATTCAATGCATCTCTATGAGGAGATGCTGATGATCTCAGCCATAGAGGCAGGGCCAGTCGAGGGGAGACCAGCACGGTGTGGGGAAAAAAAAGGCGAGTAACACTATTCCCTTGCCAATGGAAAGGATCTGGTAACCTAAACACACACATACACCATGACAGACACACACACCATGACACACACATAAACCATGACAGATAAACGCGCACACACACCATGACAGACACACACACACCATGACACACATACACACACATACACACACCATGACTGACCCACACACCATGACACAGACAGACACACACACACACACACACACACACCATGACAGACAGACACACACATAAACACACCATGAAAGACACACACAAATAGACACACCAGGACAGACACACACCATGACAGACCTATACACTCACACTGACAGACTGACTCATACATTATTGCTACCTGTGGGGTCCAGTGGGCGACCGGCGAGAGGATTGTGCAGGCACGAGGCAGGCTGGGTGGTCATGCAGGGCTATGTATCAATGACCCTATTATCAGCTGGACCACAGGAAGTGTGTCTTATTCATCGTCCCTTTGTTCTACACAGTGCTTTCGAGAAACCTGCCAAAAGGATTTTATACAGTTTGTTCAAGATGCCAAGATAAAAAGATAAGTTGCATTGCCACATGCACACCATATGTTTAATGATGTTTTGATGGAGTAAAAGGAGTATAAACTTTTCCATCCATAAGGGAATATTATTGTCCAATTGAGCTCAAACCAGGTGCTCTTTTCGGCAAAATTATTCCCTGGTGGAGAATGAACTACAGATATTGAAGGAATATATCCATGAAAATCTGGCAAAAGGACTCATCAGAACTTCCAACTCTCCCACAGGAGCTTTGTGGAAAAAAAGATTGTAGCTTACCCCCCTGGATTACAGGAAATTAAATCACCATTAAAAACAAGTATCCACTCTGTCTGATTGCTGCATTGATTGGACATCTTCAGTATGCTTCTGTTTATTCCAAGCTGGATTTAGGAGGTGCTTATCCTCCTCCATGTCAGACAAAGAGATGAGTTTAAGTATGCATTCCAATCTTGTTACGGACACTGCAAGTATTCAGTAATAATGATAAAAGGGAAATAAGGGCTGCACCAAAGTAAAGTATCAATAGATAATAAAATATGAAACAGTCCAAATATAAGTGCAAACCTCTTAAGTGGTTAAGTGGCAATCATTTTAGCCTGAGTGATCAGGTCTGTTGCTTTTTGTTTGTTTTGTTTTTCTTTTTTTTTTCTTTTTTAAATCAAGAATAAGCATTTCACTCATAAACAGCATTTGCTATAAGACGAATCAACGGACTAACTTTTATTTGAATAATTAACTTACAAATCAGTTACAACTCTCTATAAGAGTCGGTTCCACTCACAGTCATCATAAGGCAACGGGCGTAGACAAAGACTTTAAAACTTAAAGATTTAAAGACTAAAACGATTTGGAGAGTTAGAGGTCTCATAGTTTGAGACATAGAGGAGGGAAAAAAAAAGGGGGGGGAAAGGAAAGAGAGAAAGGGTTAGCATACAGTCTATTGTATACTAAACAGTGCTATATTTCACGGTTTATTACCACTCTCCACATTTCATTACCACCCTCCATTATCACATATCAGGGAAAGGAACGGGCGATGCCTCCTTCTAAGCAAACCAAACTAACAGACTCAGCACAGTATGCTAAAAAAGATAAGCAAAGACAAACACAGGAGGAAGATGAAAAGACAGTATTACGAGATATTGGGCAGGAATCAGATTCTATGCAAGATTGTTCAGAAGATGCCCAAATATCTAAGGTTTTATTTAAACAGGTACTCCAAGAGTTAAGGATAACTATAAAAGAGGATTTTGCCAATATAATAACAAGTATACACCAAGAACTATCGGAACTGAGTGACCGCACCGATTATTTAGAGAAAAAACCTGATGATTTGTGTAAAGCACACAGCGTACTAGACAAGAAAGTTAGTAGCTTGGAGGAAGAAAATAAGAAATTATGGCATAAAGTGGTGGACCTGGAGGATAGGTCACGCAGGAATAATGCAAGATTTAGAGGCGTGCCTGAAGCTATTCCTGCCGAGAATTTGGAGGAGTATATTACAACATTATGTTCTAGTTTGGTTCCGTCTATGGATAAAATTATACGGGAAATACAGAGAATACACAGATTAGCGAGACCTGTAAGGTTTGCAGTGGATACTCCACGTAACATCATTGTTTGCATTAACCGCTACACTGCCAAAGAAGCTTTATTTGCAGCAATTCGTAAAACTCCAGTTCTACCTTCTCCGTATGAAGCATTAACAGTATATAACGATTTATCCCCTCTGACTATGGCAAGACGGCGGGAATTTGCTGCAATTACTAAAGTATTACGAGACAACAAAATATCCTACCGTTGGGGCTTCCCAACCAAAATTTTAGTCTGGGAAAATGGAAAAACGACAGTAATTGACGACCAAATCAGCGGCTTGGCTATCTTAAAATAATGGGGGATTGAGCATACTGAAGAAGTAACAACTTTTAGTCATACCCCAAATTCTAAAAATATACCACCAGACTGGAAGACAGCAGGAAAAGCCTCAACAAAATCTAAAGACAGGACCAAATTTTTAATATGACATGCACTTTAAAATAATCTTATGCCTTGAAATAGGTGACTAATGGTGCTGGCTTAAAAAATTGGTTTACAGCTGCATATGGGCAGGACTTATAGAATTGGGGTAATTTGATCAGTCCTATTCAGATTATTAATAGAAGCCTACTGAGCAAATAAGATCTATAAGAGAAAAAAAAAAAAGGAAAATACCATGGCAAGGTTATAGTTAAAACTGCATAATAGGAATATTGTACTAAGTTAACTACGGAACTGATACCTTTCAAGACCCTTATTAGTTATTAGACATTTATGAACTGTAAAGACACAAATGTAATGTTCCTGGTATATTATTGATACTCTCTACAATTTTTTGTTGTTATATATAATTATTGCAAATTCTGGCTTCTAATGTTATAAAGAAAATAGGATTATGGTTTAAAGATTGAAATAAAACTCCCGGGGCTTGGCAGAAAGGGATATATTCCCTCCCCATGCCCAGTGGGGTTATTGTTTAGTTACACATGTAGATATGTAAATATTAGAGTTATAGAGGCCTGAAGGGCCATAGACAAAGCTAGGAATGCTCCTAAGGTATAGATATTACGTTAGTATATACATTTGCAAAGCCTTAAAATCTGCGCTTTTACCTTATACCTTAAACAGCATAGCACTTCGTGTCGCCATCACCACCACCATGATTTAAATCCTCGATGAGGATGCTCACCCTCACGACCTCCATAGCATTAGCATTTTGGCCCCCATGTAGGGAGCAATATAGGGCTTGTTGCCCTCGAGTTCCCCCCTCCCCTCCTTGGTTATTCCCTTGTGTGGTTACTTTTACCCTTTTGTTCCAGGACATCCAATTTGCCTATCTTTCTACGCAATACTAAGAAGATACTTTTATAAGCGGCCTTATTGTAAATCTATACAACTATGACATTTGTTTCATCTAATGTAAAAGGTTTGAATTCCCCAGGTAAACGTAGGTTGCTTCTTAGAGATCTTATTAAACAGGGAATAGATGTAGCCTGCATACAGGAGACTCATTTCAAGAACAATCATACTCCAGCTATTTTTACCAAACAATTCCCCATACAGGTGCACTCCCTGTCTAGCTCCAAATCTAAAGGTGTATCGATTTTAATTCACAAAGATATAGTTTACACTCCCCAACGACAGTATGTGGACCCAGGAGGGAGATGTGTTATACTGGTGGGCCAATTCAAGTGTGCTACTAACGTTGGTAGCGTTAGTGTGCAACTAACGTTGGTAGTGGCTTATTTCCCCAATGACTATCCACAGAATTTCTTGATCTCCCTCTTGACCAAAGTTGAAAAATATAGACAGGGAGACTTGATACTCTGTGGGGACTTTAACTGCATTCAGTCACCAGGGCTAGACACGACCGCAACCCCTAACGATAAAAACAAACGGAGAATAGGGCTTACTAAATTACTAGATCAATATGACTTATACGATGCATGGAGGATCTTACACCCGATGGACATGGATTATACCTTTCATTCACGAGTACATAACACATATACACGCATAGACACCTTTTTTTCAGCACAGAACACTTCTACCACAATTAACACGATGTAATATAGGGGAGATAACTTGGTCGGATCATAGCCCTGTGTATTTAAATCTATTGGAGGCGTTTCAATCTCGAGGCCGGGGGTCCTGGCGATTGAATGACTCCCTTCTGTCAGATGCAGTTTTTGCAGAGGACATTAGGTTAGGAATACAAGAATATTTTAAATTAAATACGACCGAGGAAGTCTCGGACTTCACAATATGGTCGGCGCACAAAGCGGAGAGTAAGAGGACGTTTTTTGAAACGTTCTTCTTTCCTAAAGAAACAAAATATGTCAGGTCTACTTGAATGCCATAGACAAATAGCTAAAATTTTTAAACAAAATAAAACTCGACCTTCCCCTCAATTAGCGGAACAGCTTACTGTGCTTTACACATGACTTAAGGAGCTCAATGGGGAAGAAACTAAGCGCATGCTCTACAAACTCAGAGCTAATGTATATCATAGTGGCGGGAAAGCCAACAAATATTTAGCTTCTAGACTTCGTAATAAATACTCTAGCTCTAAGATACCCTATGTAATGGGAAACGATGGTCTAAAGAAAATCACTCCCATAGACATTAGTCAAGAATTCGCAAACTTCTACGCTAAATTATACAATTTGAAAGAAGGTAGGAGTACCCATAATGTTAGCATAGAAGATATAACTCAATTTTTAAGTCAAGCTGAATTACCCCAGATTACTAATATGAAACTAGACACACTACTGAAGCCCACTGAGCTCACGGAGGTGTTAGATATAATTTCTAAACTACCACAAGGGAAGTCACTGGGAGCAGATGGGTTGACGAATGCCTATTATAAAAAATATGCCCAGGATTTAGGCCCGCATCTCTTAAAAGTTTTCCATAGGGCTACGGCCACAGATACACTTCCGACGGAGATGATCCGTGCTACCATAATAACTATTCCAAAGCCTGATAAGTCCTTTAATGCATGTAAAAATTATCGCCCAATATCGCTTTTAAATGCCGATGTGAAGATCTATGCGAAGATCTTGGCAAATAGGCTTAACGGAGTGTTACCATCCCTCATTGGAGATGACCAGACAGGGTTTATACAAGGGAGACAGGGGATGGATAATACTAGAAAATTTGCATTGATATTGGAGCACTTAAGAGGGGCCAGAGAAGGCGGACTTTTAATAGCATTAGATGCTGAAAAAGCTTTTGACCGACTCAGCTGGCCCTTCCTGCAACAGACGTTGTGTGCATATGGGCTCCCACAACAACTATTGACACAGATTTTTGCTTTATACTCAGGCCCTTCGGCCCAAGTGTTACAGAAGGGCTTCATGTCCGATCCATTTAAGTTAACTAATGCAACGAGGCAGGGGTGCCCGTTGTCCGCATTACTGTATGTGCTGGCACTAGACCCCCTTTTGCGAATCATCCAAAATCAACCTCATATAAAAGGTATTCAAGTTAAAGGAATAGAATGCAAAATTAGTGCCTTCGCGGATGATATTCTACTATATATCACCGACCCCATTAATATCCTTTCTACACTTATGCAAATAATAAAGGAATATGGCCTCTGTTCTTATTACTTATTAAACACTATTAAAATGCAGGCCTTAGGAATAGATTTACCCTCTCAAGCTATAGAAATATTACATAAGACATATCCCTTTGAATGGAGACGTGATAACATCAAATACCTAGGGATATTGTTTTCTAGAAGACTTACTGATCTGAGTGCAGGTAACTATATTAGGGTATGGAAGGAGTGTAAGCAAACTCTGATAAAATGGAGATCCCTTTTTCTTATCTGGACCGAAAGAATAGCAGCTAGTAAGATGTCTATACTTCCTAGATCACAATATGTTTTTCGGAATCTTCCATTATTTATGCCACAGTCTTATTTTAAAAAGATTCAGAGGGATATGACCAATTTTATCTGGGACAAGGGGAGACCCCGAGTATCCATGAAACTGTTGAGAGCACCGGTTAGAGCAGGAGGCCTGGCAGTTCCTGATGTTCGCATTTATTACCAATCCCCCCTCAGTGGATTCGAATTGAACAACATATGATGTCACCATATGACATCACTCATATATTATGGCTTCCTAAACAGTTGACCCCCCTTAAAAGCAGTTCCTGCCCAAATTGCTTTGTTAATGCAAATCTGGGATAAATATAGATACAAGCTGAGTAGCAAATATCCAATTTCCCTCGCTACTCCTACGGAGGCTCTCACATATTGCATTCCCACCTTTTATACTAAACCATGGCGGGAGAGGGGTCTTACACATGTAATTCATTTTTATGTTAATTTAAGGCTACTGGATTTCCGAACCCTCCAATTACTTTATGGGGTCCCATTGACCTCTCATTTCTCCTACAGACATCTACATTCTTTTTTATACAAACAAGACACACAGATTTCATCTGGTTGTATAACCAGTGAACAACTTACGATATTGGAAAAATTGTGCATAAATAAAAAGCTACCTGCTTTATGTAAACCAATCTCCAAATGTTACCAATTGTTATTAGATTACACACCGTTTTCGGAGGCTATACCAGGAAAGCAATGGGCAAAGGACTTGACCATAGAGCTCACCCAGGAACAGTGGACTAATATATCTATAAATACTAAGAAACGTATTAAATCAGTTCCACTTATTGAGCAAAACAAGAAAATGATTTATAGATGGTACATGGTGCCAGAGCTGTTACATAAAATGTTTCCCTCCACTTCACCCACTTGTTGGAGATGTCAAAAGAATATTGGATCAGTTATACATATATGGTGGAACTGCCCATTAATCCAACCCTTTTGGGAAGCTGTACATACATTGTTACAAGATATCACAAAAGTTAAACTATTGTATGTTCCCCTTACGTACTTGTTATTGCATATCCCCCCACATACACCCAAATATCTCCAAAAATTAATCTTCCATATTGCACTGACGGCTCAACACCTTATTGCATGAGCCTGGAAGACTTTAAACATTCCCACGATTCAGAAAATACATTCTGAGATGGAGGAGCAGAGGCTTTATGAGCGCTGCTTTATAAGTATATATCCATCTAACCAATGTGGGATAGCGGCATGGGACACTTGGGACAAGTGGAGATGGGTACACCCCACATAGGGGGAAGCATTAATGTTCCATAAAGATGTTATCGCACTGTTTTAATACATTTTGATTTCAAGTACGTTAGCACTAAATTAAATTTTATGCTCCAGTTATATAGAAATTTGTGATCTAAATGTGATTATACTGATGAAGGCCATATTGAGTACCAAAGTATTGTGTATTATTATGGATTACCATGGATAATTATGGTTCATTGTGTAGTAAGTGATATAAGATGCTTGGATGTCCTCCCTTCCCCTCCCCCCCCTTTCCCGCCTTTTGTCTTCTGTACCCTTTCCCTCCCCTTCCCAGGTCTTTTATAAATCAAATAAAAATTGTCAGATTGCAAAATATAAGTGCAACGAGTCTAGATGTAATGATCTAAGTTAGATTAGATAAAGAATAAAGTGCTTGATCGGGAGTAATATCCTCACTGTCTTTTTCCAGGCAGATCCACTCATATAAAAAGACAAAGCATAGAAATAACTAAATAGTGTAATATGTACAGTCCAATGTATTCAATATGTTGGAGAGATGGTAATAAACTCACATTTGTTAAAGCTATAGCTAGCTCTAGTGTGAAGGGCGCACAGCGGTACAATCTCCACTTATGGGATATACAGTGAGCTTCTTCCGTCACGGGGTATGTTCAACACTCAGGAGAAGGGTAAAAGGAGACAACTAATAGTGTTCACTGGATAAAATAGTAGTAACAAGATAGGTTAAATGGTACTCACAAGCGAAGAGCAGGCTAACTAGCCGATATATAAAATTTGGGTGGAGATAGACACTTAAGAGATTTATGGGAAAAAATGGGGGTTAACCCCTAATACGTAAATTCAAATGAAAAAAAAATAAAACAAAATTAAATCTCCAAAGGAGTATCTATCTATGTGAGAACAGTCAGTGTACTTAAAACGTAGCTTTTATTCTAGTAAATAAAAAGGTGCAATAAATATAACAAAAGAAAGAAAAAATTATAAATAAAATATGAAACAGATAGGTCTCCACTGTGTATTGGACAAGCAAATACCGAATATTCAAATAGTACTTGAAGTAGTAAGTAGTACTATAGATAAAAAAAAAATTATATTTAGATATAGAGTGTGATCGGTATCTGGGTTCAGACTAACATCTATATCGTTCCAGAATAACCACTCAATTGTAACGGCTAAATGGTGGAGAGGAGAGGGAATAAGAGGGATTACTAGTAGTAGCCTTAATATAGATAGAGAAAAAGGCTAATGTGCCTTCGAGGGCACACCTTACCCAAATACTACTCTAACACTAAGTTGCCCACCATGCCCAATCCTCCAAATGATTCAAGGCTAGAGAATAGAGAAACTGGAACAATAATAAATGAAAATAGAGTAGTTAGCAACGGAAGTAGCGACATATCGCCGCAACTATATATGTGGTGACTTCACTGTTAACTATAGTATAGCAGTATTTAACCCCACCATGCCCAAACCTCAAATACAAGAGACTAAAGTACATTGAACTATCTGTGGCTGCTGCTTGGGAAATGTAGTTTTAACATCGGTGCGCACAAAGCTGCAGCTGACATTAGGATATGTATACAGTAATGCCCTATGTTCTTTGCAATGCCCCTTCTTCATTCCAGCACTTTCTCAATTATTTTTCATAACCTCCTTGACCAATACATAGTGCCCTACCTGGATGATCTCCAGGTCTTTTCTCCACACCTGTGTGCTCATCATCTCCAAATGCCTGAGGTATTGAAACGTGTACACCAGTTTTATGCAGTGATCGAAAAGTTTATCTTTGAAATAGACTGTGTAAAGTTTCTTGGATTCATCATCTGACCAGGAAAGGTGGAAGCAATGCTCCAGTGGCAGAAACCATAAAGTGGACGTTGCCAAATTCTACAGAAGATCCATTCAAAACGTCTCCAAATCAATAGAACTAGAACCACTCACACAACTTCTCAATAAGGAGGTGAATCTTCCTCTCTATCTGGAAGGATTTCCTATGTCACACAGTAGAATTCACGTAGCTTAATGGATGTTCATCTTTATGGTAAACCTTCAATAAGCTGCCAGTAACAGAGAAAGATTGTTCTTATAAAGTTAGTGGTGGGAGCTCCACTTTACCTTCTGGTTACGTGTTCAAAGTAAATGTGTAATTTTCATTTAGTGAATCCATTTCCTCTTTTGTAGCATTAAGCCAGAACTGTGAGTATTATTAGTATTGTACAGATGGCATATTGGTCTCTCTGTGGCAATCCTCTTCACCATTTAATATGTTTGAGTTTACTTTTTAACAGCTTTCTTCGTAACAAATTTCACACGCTGTGTTTGAGAACCATTCTGGTGTCTGGTTAATGCACTAGATAAGAAGGACTGCTTTTTTCATATCCAACAAAGATCCCTTTCACGCACTTTGAATATAACTTATTTCTATCATACTTACATGCAAAACCTTCGGACCCAAAAATGCTTTATTTTAGAAAGTTTAAATATTGTGACTGTTACCAGATAATGGGGAGTTTCTACTAGAATGTTATGAAAGCACCTGTTTCCGATTTGGTTGAATATGGCCATAATTCTTTTGGCAAATAATGTTCGATAAACAGACATCTGGCCATTTCAAATAGTGTTCTGTAGTTTCTCTTAGTAGTACCACTTTGATCGGGTGAGTAAGGTGCTGAGGTTTCATGTCTAATACCTTGCTTGTTTAGTAGCGACTGTAAACTCTCAGCCATGAACTCAGTACCCTTGTCAAATCTTATACGCTTTATGTTTCCAAATGGGGCTGTGTCATGAACTTTTCAACAGCTAACACTGCATTACATTTTCAGGAAGTATACAAACACTGCTGCTAGGTAGTTAACAATGAATATCATAGCTTATTTGAAATATTATTTAGCTTGTCCTTTTATGGGACCTGCGAAGCCAGTATGCAGTAGTTTTAGCACACTCTGCCCTCTTTGGCTGCAATTGTAACAAACAGCATCAACGTTGTCCTGTTATCTTTAATATATATACATCAAAACCAATACATAAAAAAGCATTTAAAAATCATTCAAAGAATATTAAGTACAAAACATATCAATATATTAGATCCAGCCACCAATTATGAATGACAATATACTAACTTAATTTAACAATAAATACAACAAAGAAATAATAGTCAAGAAAGTAAATACATTTATAGAAAAATCAGACTACATACCGAGAGTAAATAGAAATAGATAAGAAATGAATGAAAGTGTTGGATACCCCAACATTTCGGTGTAACCCCCTTTTCAAGGGATGATTCAAACTTTATTCACAGAACAAGCAAGGAAATCATATTATGGGAATCCACAATATAACATTTTAAACAGTGGGAATCAAAGGTAGTAGCAGCATGGCCTTATCCATAGCTGGGATCAGTGGTAACAAAGCTGAGTGTCTTTAGTTTGAATGATTAATCCAGGAAGAGAGCGTATATATCTGAAACCATAAGAGAATAGCAGTTTCTCCAGTCAGTTCCACTTAGTACAATACAATATTGGTGCACAGGTTCACTGACTTCCAGAAAATATTGAAAAAAATATTTAAAACATTTAACACAAAAATGTAAAAATATATACATATACATAAAATATGACAGGCGCAATTATGTTCTGTTGTCAGAAATGCACTTATCTGAAATGTTAAAGTTCAGTTTGAATAACAAAACGACACATATTCATATCACAAGTAACACTCTTAATTTAGTCGTCAAACGACAACAAGATTACTAATATGTGATTAAGAGTTCAAGAACATCCGCATATTAGATATTAATTCAACCATTCCTTGATGGAAGTCAGCATAGGAACAGTAAAAAGCTAAATTTTATTAAAAGTGTAAAAAGTAACATTTGTTTGAAAAGTAGAATTGTTGCATATAGTTTATTTAATTTATAATGTTTATATTGTATCTAACCTATATATAATATATAATAATTTTTCAAAAATCACTATGATCTAGTCAATTTTCCAGTCACATTGACATTGATTTTCCATTTTCTTTTTTATAGGTTTTTTTATGTGCCAAAATAGTTTTTTTAGCTTCTGAACCTGTTGAAGAGGTTTCAGGGCAAGGAATACCAAATAATCTGGGGTACTATGTTCTCCCCCAATATTTCTATGTAAAAATGAAATTGTACGAAACTTTAATTTCTGGTGTCTCCGATCAGCAGTCTTTTCATAAAAATTGATGGTTTGTACTGCACAAATTGAACAAGCAAAAGGAAAATAAATAACTGTACATAACTTGGATGTCAGGTGTCCCTGATCAGCAATCTCTTCATACAATTAATGGTTTGTCTTATGTTTGTGCACTAGCTATGCATTCTATTTCTCAAATTGTTTATTATATTTATATGAATAATAATACATCTATTATATATTATTCAGTATTGTACAGGACACAGAATTAGCAGCACCTATGACCATCCTTCAACACATAAAAAAAAATTTCTGATGCCTGATCAAATAAACTTACAGTCCAAGGTAAGTGGGATAATATTTCATAAAAAGGTCATGGTAAAGTGTATTATATTTAAAATGAAGATTGATTGTTATGCCTAGTAATACGTCTGTAAACTTAGAGAAGAATAAGTATGTGTGAGGCAGATGTATTGGTTAGTTCTTTGCTAAAAATTGGGTTTTAATTAGATTTCTTAAAGGCACACTCCAGGCACCATAAAAACGTCATCTCAATGAAGCTGCTATGTTGCCAAGAGGTCCTGGGCACTATTTTAACATAAGGGGTTAAACCATTTACAAACGGTTTAACCCAACTGTTGTGAAGACGGTTTTTGTAAATGGGAAGCTAGTGGTACAGCTAATGCAATCAGCCTGTCAGTAGCTTCCTTGTTGAAGCCTTGGATATCACTGTAAACCAGGATACAGAAAGGACAGGTTCCATACTCACAACTTTGTTTTTTTTTTCCAAATGAAAAGAACACGGCAGTGAAGGATTAAGTTTGATAATGGATTACATTTAAATAACTTTATTTATGCCTCGGTTTTTCTACATGCTTTTCAGAGGTAAAGCTTTTAATCAAAGGCACGCATTTAGAGAGAAGACCAGTATCTAAATGAAATAACTAGCAGAATATTATCCATTTATTAATAAAATATAACATACAGTATACATATATTGCTGCTTGGTAACTAATTTTATACATCCTTAACTGTGAATTTATGTAAAATTGCAGGAATTTATTCTAACATTGTACAAATCATACAATTACAATATCTGCAATAATGCAGTTTAATAAAGAGGAATTATTTATAAATATTTTTTTTAAGGCAAACGTTAGCACTCATTGTGAAAATCAATTATATGCTCCTGCTGATTGATTCATATTTAACACCCTTATCACATAATTTTCTCTTATTTTTATATATATATATATATATGTGTGTGTCTTATACTATGATTTTAATGTAGATGCAAAGCTGAATCTAACAACAGGTGGTGGTAGAGAGCTAGCTTTGAGAAAGCTCATTCTCCTGTGACAGCATAAACCATGACACATATGAAAGATTAATATATGTATAAATACAAAGACCTCCACTATAGTATCAAAAAGGTATAAGTAACTGGAGAAGCCAAGCCTTGCACTGAACACAAGACAGCAAAACACAGAGATTTGTAGAGCAGCACATCCCTTTTCCAGGATGACAAGAATCCTTGCTGAATCCTGTGCTAGTTATTATACAGCCAACAACACGTTTGTGGATAGTTTTGGCTGCCCCGGGAAAGGTGATACCATAGATCTAATATACTGCTGTGGGTTCGCTGACTTGAAATATTGTTGCAACGAACCTGGAAACTACTTTCCCTACAAGCATGGATATATGTGGACACTTAGGTAAGGACCAGGGTAACCGATATTCAGCTTATGACATTTGAAGATATCTGTTACCTTTTTTTCTTTTTATTTAAGACTTTATTGTAAATATATACTGTTCTTTGTAAAACCGGATAAATATACTGTTCATTTTCCTCAGTTAATATTTGTTAGAATGTATACTATGACACATGTTTTCTTTTGGAAACGTTATATCATAATAACTTTGAAAATATTCATTAAAAAACATTTGACAAGGACCAGAATAACCGATCCCCTTACAATGCTTTATTTCAGGGAATGATGGATTGACTTTGCAAAAGTATTCCGTGGGCTTAATAACTGACCATGCAAATGAAAAGCTTAAAATGAATCATCTTTAACTATATGTAGATATTATAGTAAAAACAGCCGTAAAAAAACCTTATGTTTAATATATATAGATATAGTGTGAGTGTGTGTGAGATATATAGATATATAGATATTTACACACACATTCACACACAAACGCATGTCCACACGCATGCACAAACACATATACTTGCATTCTTTTGTTCAATACAATATCACAATATTTCTCTGTGATATTTCTCTGAATCTGAATGACAATTTTCTATTTCTCATTGTCTGTAATCAGTTATTTCTACAGTGCAACATGTTGTTGATTAGAGATTATACGATTCACACCCATAACCTTTCAAAGTCAAAAATTATTTTAGTTTTTTTGTATATAAGCTTTTGAGAGTTTAGAGTTGCAGAAAAAAAGATTTTATTAAATATTAAATAATCACGATTTAATGTCTCAGTGGAGAAACATGAGAAACAAGTGGAAATGTGGTCAGTTTAGAATGAGTATTATTTTGCATAGGAGTAGAAAACCCCCCAAGTAAAACAGTTGTGAAACAAAACATTGCAGAATCTTCTTTAACCCCTTAAAGACCAAACTTCTGGAATAAAAGGAAATCATGACATGTCACACATGTCATGTGTCCTTAAGGGGTTAAACCAGTACCTGTCAAAAAATGTCCAGGAAATGTCAAATTTCTGTTCAAAATATCAGAATTTGTAAAATTATTCAACTCAGGCTTTCCTTAAACTGGCTATTTTTAATCATTCACAATTTAATGAATAATCCCCTGTAAACTAATTCATTATTGATTCAAAGAGAAGGTTATTCAATAATTTCAGATCACTTTTCAGCCTCCAAACACTTAAAATTATGTTCTTGATATGGGCTTTGTCTCTCTAGGTTTATGGGGAATTTGGTAATACAATAAACGTATTAAAAAAAAAAGAGTTTCGTTTTCTTGTTGTAGTTTAGTTATTCAGGCGTGTCCGACTCTCCATCACCGACTCTCCGTTACTGCCCCTCTGAGCTCCAACAACTTCATGTTCGTGGCTTCAGTGACCTCATCTATCCATCTTCGTCTCTGTCGTCCCCTTCTTTGTGTGCCTTCAATCTTTCCCAGCATCAGAGTCTTGTCTAGAGAATCCTGCCTTCTCATTATATGGCCAAAATAGTTGAGCTTCAGCCTCATGATCATAGCTTCCAGTGAACAGTTTGTCTTGATTTCCTGTAGTATGGATTTATTGGATCTTCTTGCAATACAAGGGATTCTAAGCAGTTTTCGCCAACACCACAGTTCAAAGGCATCAATTCTACAACGCTCAACCTTTTTTATAGTCCAGCTCTCACATCCGTATGTTACTACTGGGAATACCATAGTTCTGACTATGCGGACCTTTGTTGATAGTGTAATATCTTCAGTTTTTACCAGCTTGTCCAAGCTTGCCATAGCTTTCCTCCCCAGAAGCAAACGTGTTTTAATTTTATGACTACAGTCACCATCTGAAGAGATCTTTGATCCCAGGAAAATAAAATCTGTAACTGCCTCCACTTCTTCCCCATCTATTTGCCAGGAACTAAGATTGCTGTTTGCCATGATCTTAGTCTTTTTAACGTTAAGCAACAAGCCAGCTTTTGCATTCTCTTCTTTTACTCTCATCAACAGGTCCTTTAGTTCTTCCTTACTTTCAGCCACCAGAGTAGTATCATCCGCATATCTGAGGTTGTTGATATTTCGTCCAGCAATATTGATTCCAGCTTTGGATTCATCCAGCCCAGCCTTATGTATCATGTATTCCACATATAAGTTAAATAAATAAGGTGACAACATACAACCTTGTTGCACTCCTTTTCCGATCTTGAACCATTCTGTTGTCCCATGTTTGGTTCTGACCGTGGCTTCTTGGTCCACGTACAGATTCCTCAGGAGGGTGATGAGATGATCTGGTACTCCCATCTCTTTAAGAACTTGCCACATGTTGTTGTGATCCACACAGTCAAAGGCTTTAGAATAGTTTATGAAGCAGAAGTAGATGCTGCGGAACCCAGCTTGTACATCTGGTAATTCCTGGTCCATATATTGTTTGAGTCAAGCTTGTAGGATATTAAGCATTACCTTGCTGGCATGTGAAATTAGTGCAATTGTTTGATTATTGGAGCACTCTTTGGCATTGCCTTTTTTGGGGACTGGGATGTAGACTGACCTTTTCCAGTCTTTTGGCCACTGTAGAGTTTTCCAAATTTGTTGACATAAGGCAAGCAGAATTTTCACAGCATCATCTTGCAGAATTTTGAATAGTTCAATTGGGATTTCATGAACTCCTGCAGCCTTGTTATCTTCAAGGAATCCTAGGGCCCATCTCACTTCGCACTCCAAGATTTCTGGTTCCATCTCATTGGACCAACTATTGAGGTCATCACTGCTGTTAAGATTCTGTATAGATCTTCAGTGTATTAAAACTAGCGGAAAAGTGTCTAGTTTTTAAACTAGGGTAACACTGTCTGGCCTCTGCTATATATATGATTTCAGTCTCTCTCTCTCTTCAATTCATCCTTTTAACATATATACGATGGGATTATATTATTTATCCCAGTTACAGTTTCTCTTTTTTACCCCTTACATATCAATGACACATTGAGCATGGAAATCTTTGCAAATTTAGGATGATTCATGTTAAAATTAGGGACTTTGCCCTTCGTCAAAGGTTAAATTAACAAATGTTACAGTTATTTGCCTTTAGAAACTAAGCAGTGAATTTATCAGAGTTTGTCTCTAGGATGTTAAGAATTATTAGCTGCAGGTGATGGATGACTTAATTTTCAATGGGTTATGAATAGTTTAAGAATTTATCGGGAATTCTTTTCTGTGCAAGTTCTCAGATCTTTAAATATGGAAGTATGTCTATAAGTGGTCATCAGCTTAAAAATATAGGTATTGCATATTGCTCATTATTTTTCTTCATGCCAGTTACACTTCATACGTCTGCGCAGGTAAGGATGCACCCCCCCAACTTCTCCTTTCTCAATACTGATGATTGTTTATAATGATGTAATTAATGAACCCCTTAATTGCTTTGTAAATGCAGAAATAGCCTACAGAAAGAGTCTATACAAATAGATAATGGAAAAAAATTATGATTAAAACTTATATTTTATTTATTTCATTAAAAAGAGGGAAAGAGAATGTCTTTCCACCCTTTAAGGGTTGAGTGCTATTGTGAAAAGGTAAATACAGGTGTTAGGTTTGAACCCTATGGTGAGAGAAAAAAAGCAATATATATGAGGAGATGCTGCGCAGTGCAGTGTTTGGCTTGTGCTGGATCTGCCCTGACTCCTTGCCAGTCTCAGCCAATCCTATGGGAAAGCATTGTGATTGGCTTTTGATCAACACTTTTGATGCTGACCAGACAGATCAGGGGCAGAGCCAGCTGCAGTAGACTGGAATAAAAGTAAGATTTTACTATATTTAAGGTCAACTGGGGCGTGGGGGAGAGGAGGGGAGGGAGAGAGATGGTGTTTTTAACACTACAGCAATACATGTTTCCATCCTGACCCTATAGTGTTCTTTTAAAGATCTCACAAGTGACAGTAACACCTTAGGCTGCCTGAGCATTATGCAAATATGATCCATGAACATTTTACATCTCACGCAATGGTCCAATTTAGAAACTCATACAGCGGGAGACACTTGCCATCACCAATCTCTGTACCGCCTCTAATTTCTCCAATATTTAATTTCCTGTATCAGACCACCATCTGCTGACTTTTGACATTGGCATACCAAAGACTCAATTGACACCACCGTCTGAACATCAATCTCACAGAAACCTCCAATGTCTTGACCAAGAGCATTTCTCCACTAATCACCAAACTCTCTTTTTACGTTATCTCAAACCTCACCTGTCCTAGCTCTGCAACCTCCTTCTACAATTCCACCCTCTCCTCTCAGCTAGACATCATGGCACCTCCTACATTTAAATGCAGCAAGCACCCCCAACCATAACCTTGGCACACCAAGTTGGCTCGATACCTCCAAAAATTTTCCAGAACTGCTGAACGCTGTTGGAGAAAGTCTCACTGTGCATCTGACTTTCTCCACTATAAATTTATGCTGCACTCATACATCTTGGCTCTTTCCTCTGCAAAGGTAAATTACTTTAATACCCTCATAACCACACTCTCCCGCGAACCCAAATGACTATTTAAAATATTCAACTCTCTTCTTCGCCCTATTGTTCCTCCTCCACCTACTAACTTGACCGCCTCAGACTTTGCAACTCATTTCACTGACAAGATCTCTACAATCAGGGAATATATATCTCATCTTTCTTCTTCCCCTTACAATACTTCCCCTAACCTCACTCCCTCTGCTGTTCTATGTTCATTTGCACCCGTTACAACGGAAAAGGTTTCTGCTCTGCTCCAGTCCTCCCGCCCCACCACCTGCTCCCTAGATCCAATTCCCTTGCACTCTGTGGAAACGGCACTGACTAAAGTTTCCAATGATCTACTCGCTGCAAAATCTTGTGGTCACTACTCTATCCTAATTCTCCTTGACCTTTCTGCGGCTTTTGACACTGTTGATCATCAACAGCTTCTTCTCATCCTCCGCAATATCGGTCTACAAGATATTGCTCTCTTCTGGTGCTCCTCCTACCTCTCCCAGCACTCATTCAGTGTTTCTTTCTCTGGCTTTGCTTCTTCTACCCAACTCCACTCTGTTGGTGTCCCCCCAAGGTTCAGTCCTTGGTCCCCTACTGTTTTCTATCTATACTGCCTCCCTTGGTAAACTAATTAGCTCCTTTGGTTTCCAATATCATTTCTATGCGGATGACACGCAAATCTATCTGTCCTCTCCCAGTCCCTCTTGACTATTGTCTCTGACTGCCCCTCTGCTATTTCTAACTGGATAGCTGCCCACTTCCTTAAACTTTACTTGACCAAACCGGAAATTCTGGTCTTTCCTCCCTCAAGTGTTGCTACTCCTGTGTCTGTCTCTCAACGGTGCTACCATCAGCTCCATCACGCAGGCTCGCTGCCAAGGTGTTCTCATTGACTCAGAGTTCTCCTTCACCCCTCATGTTCTGTCTATCGCCAAATCCTGTCGCTTCCATCTCAAAAACATTGCGTGCATCCGACCCTACTTAACGCCAGATGCGACTAAGGTGCTGGTCCATACCACTGTCCTTTCTAGCCTTGAGTACTGCAATCCACTTCTCAGTGGTCTTACATGCTCCCAACTTGCGCTGTTACAGTCCATAATAAATGTGGCGGTGAGGCTCATCTTCTTGTCTGCCCATACCTCCCACGCCTCACCCTTCTGTCAGTCCCTACATTGGCTTCCTGTAAGGTATGGGGCTCAATTTAAAATTCTGGTTCTTGCTTTCAAATCTCTACATAATGCTGTTCCCACCTATCTATCCTCCCTAATATACAAGTATGTCCCATCTAGGTTCTGCTGAAGACTTACTTCTGATGCTCGCCATCAAGACTTCTCGAGGGCTGCACCGTTCCTGTGGAACTCACTTTCCTCCTCCGTTAGATGCTCTCCCAGTGTCCACTCCTTCAAAAAAATCATTAAAACCCACTTCTTCATAAAAGCATATTAATTAAACTGTTAATAGCTCCTGACTGATTCCTCTCTTGCAACTGTCATTAGTCTAATACTATCCTTACCTTTTGTGTCACTTTACCTCACTCCCTCTAGAATGTAAGCTCATTGAGGAGGGCCCTCAACCCCTTTGCTCCTGTGTGTCCAACTGGTCTGGTTACAACTACATGTTTGTTCATCTACCCACTGTAAAGTGCTGCAGAATTTGTTGGTACTATATAAATAGTAACATAATAATAATAATAATAATAATAATAAGCCACTGCTTTCTGTGTTTTACTAGTCCAACACTATAATCATCATTTGGTCCAGACTGGAGAATGGAGAAGAAACCAGACCTGGAAAACAAATTGTATCAGTCCTTCCCATGCCCAGTTTTGCAGAGTTGTGGCAGGTTTCAGCTGGGGTAGATAGTTGTTAGGTTCCCTAAGCTGTTTATTGAATTATTTAAAATTTTGCAGCCCTGCAGTTCATACTGCAATGCATTTCTTAGCAATTATTTGCAATATTCCCACTTTCCAATAGTATATATATATACAGGGTTATTCACTAAAAAGAACGTAAAATAGCATTATATTCACAATGCTCTGACCACCGAGGTGTGTAATATGTATGGACATGAGGAGTAATAAGACCGCATGCATATCTGTATACATGTGTGAATTCATGTGTTAGCATATATTCATGTTATTTCACAAGCTGTTAACGAGGTCAACACAATTTCAATACCATCACTCCATTACTTTTCAACACCAGTTTTACCATCATCAAGTACCCCACAATCACAATCCTGCTGAGATAATTTATTGACACGTTAACAAAACCATTGAAAATAAGAAAAATAGACAGGATATGCACCACATCTGAATTGTCTGTTTGGAACACATTGCAATTAACCTTTAGAATGTAATGGGTTAATTACACACCTATCTCTTGTTAACTTAAGCAACATATCTTCACCTGTGAGCTAAAACTCCTTGAAGGCATCTCTGTCACCTTGGTTCAAATCATCAAACTTGATGATCTCAGTCAATCCAATGCTTTTCTATAATAAATGTTTCCCCATGAAACAAAAAGTGACCTTGCGCATCTCCTCATAAATGCTCATAAATGCTTCTCTATGAGGTACACATTGTGCAGCACTGACCCAGGAAGCACCCCTAGTGGCTGTCTGCATAACTGCCACTAGAGGTGTTTTTAGGCAGTAATGTAAACACTGCCTTTTTCCTTTTTGAAAGGGCAGTGTTTACATTAAAAAGCCTGCAGGGACAAGCTATAGACATCAAAACAACTACATAAAGCTATTGTTATTCTGGTTACTAAAGTGTCTCTTTTACTATGAAAAGCACAATTTAGGCCAAATGTAAAGATGGTAATTTTTGACTCTGGTGGCATTTTTTTGACATTAGAAAAGTTGGTAAATTCTAATTGTGACTCCTTTGATAAATGTCGCATAATACTAGAGG